TTGGAATTGATAAGATCTCGGGCAAGTTCTAACTTGACGCATTTTCGATGAACGGTTTTTGAGTTATTGCCCTTGACTTTGTAAAAACGCGTCAAAATTTGTTAAAAATAGTTCGTGAGCAGGATTGAAGCTACAGTTTTCAACCGTTTCTGATGAAACTTGGTGTGATCATTGGAATTGATAAGATCTCGGACAAGTTCTAACAAGAGATATTTTTGATGAACATTTATTGAGTTATTGCCCTTGACTTTGTAAACAAGCGTCAAAGGTTGTTTTTTGCCCTTGATTAGAGCTGTGTGATTTAATTGTTTGTTGTATTTGGGTTATTGATATTGATTTTTAAAAATTTTGTGGAATTATTCAGCATAAATAATTTCTTCAATATGAGAAAATTCGTACTTTAGTCACTAAAGACTGTTTTATCATTTCTGACAGCTGCCAGTGGGCGTATGTTATCTTGCATCGCAAGCTATCTTTATTGTTTCTTCTTGCCTGTCAATCAGCTTCAACCTTATTAATATTCATGAGTGCGGATTCATTGAGACAATAGTTTTATACCAGTTTTGGAACCAGTACACTGATTCACGGTGACTTCAATGAGATACACTCATTACACTGACCTTACAACTGATATAAAAACCTTTGATCTGTTAGAGACTGTAGCAATGGGTGACAATGGCGCCAGTCTGTCTGAACTCTGTCAGGCCCGCTCGTAATCTTACATTGAAGCAGATGCTTCAATGGGTTGTTGGTATCTGTCGATTTGTACCGACAATTCGCGGGGAACTAGCCAAAATCTTCCTGGGTACTCATTTACACTTACTCTAGTTTAGTTAACAGTGAGTTGACTCCTTTATAATCTTTAGTAATTAACTGGGATTAACCAGTTTCAACACTAGTTATTGTCCTTGTTCTTGAAAACGCGTTCAAATTTAGCTCTAAAAGGCATGATTCTTGCAGGATTTTGACAAAACTTGGTTTTATTATTCAGTTCCGCGCTGAAGATTGAATATTTGCCTCCTAGAGTTTTCACAAGCTAAAAATTGAACACGTTTTCAAGAACAAGGGCAATAACTCATACTCAATATTATTCAGTATTGCGCTAAAGAGTTCAAAAGAAGTGTATGACTGAAGGTTGAATATTTCATACTGGTGATTGTTACTGTACTGCTAAATGTTTTTATTCAAAATCAAAGCTACCAGTTGGCGTATATTACCTTGCCTGGCAAGCTATCTTTATTTTGTTCATTACTTTAAACTAATGACTAAAAGATTTTGACTTTTGTCACTGACTTTTTTTGTTTTAATTTTATCGTTTTTTTCAATTTGATTGCGATCAAACCTTTGATTTCAAAATTTCTTTAGGAATTCCGGTTTTGACGTCATTCGCTCTTAAAGGAATTTTATAGTTATTTGAAAATTCTTTTTGCAATATGCTAGAATGGTCTATATCAAAGATTTGAAATGATCAAATTCGTCCTGGAAGTATTAGATGAGTCACCATGTTGATGTGACTAAATTGTCTATAAAAAACCAGTATCAAATAAATCAAGGTTGAAACAAACTACAAATGGTGGAAGGCAGTTAAGATTAAAATTACAATGTGACCTCATAAGGTTTATGACGTCACAATCTTAGAAACCACATAACAAAAGAAGAGTCAAATCACAAAATGTTGGGAGGCAATTTGATTCTTGATAACATGACCTCAGAAGATTTATGACATCAAAATCTTAGATACAACATAACACGTATGTAATGATGACTTCAGAATTTGCCAAAAATCTAAACAGGAAGGGGAAATACACTAATATTTAGCAATTTTGAAACCTCCTGGGTTGAGTTCATTCAATCCATACGGCCATACAGAGTCAAGTCTATGAATCCACAGAGTTTCTGCACTGTCTAATTTGCTTTTGCTTTCATTTGAAATTTTGTCCGTCGGTCCGTCCGTCAACATTTCTTGTGAGCACTATAGAGACTACAGTTTTTTTCTGATTTTGATAAAACTTGGTGTGATGCTTTAGATTGATAAGATCTCGGTCAAGTTAGAATTTGACATATTTTCGATGAACGTTTTTTGAGATATTGCCCTGGACTTAAAACGCCTTGAAATTTGTTAAAAAAAATGTCTGTGTCTTTGGCCATTTTGTGTAGATTTGGTTGTCGTCGGTCGTAGGTGTTAGTCCATGGAATAATCTTCATTTTCTTTTCATCTTCTTCTGCTTGGTGTTGGGGAAATAGCAGTTCAAGGCGTGATCTTTCCCTTGCTTTGCTAAAGGCAGTTTCTACAATGTGGTCTTTATATCCAGAATTCTTCAGATGTTTAGCAAATGGAAATAATCTATTGTTTTCCCATTCTTTCCCATACTACAAATTCTTCGTATTCTGAGTGCACCACTGAAAGGTATTGAGTTAAAAGTATGTCTAGGATAGCAGCTGCTAGGTGGTAGATAGTGGTGGCTAGCTGTTTCTTTAATCTTAATTTTAATATTAACTCAAGAAGGATAAAGCCTATTGAAAATGAGAAAAATCGAAAAAATATTTAGTATGAGTTATTGCCCTTGATCTTGAAAACCCGTTCAATTTGTAGCTCATAAAAACTCTAGAAAAACTCTAGAAGGCATGATTCTTGTCGAATTTTGACAAAACTTGGTTTTATTATTCACTACCGCGCTGAATATTGAATATTTGTCTTCTAGAGTTTTCATGAGCTAAAGATTGAACACGTTTTCAAGAACAAGGGCAATAACTCATACTCAATATTATTCAGTATCGCCCTAAAGAGTTCAAAAGAAGTGTATGACTGAAGGTTGAATATTTCATACTGGTGATTGTTACTGTACTGCTAAATATTCATGTTCAAAATCACCTCATTCCGTCGGTTCGTCCATCCGTCCGTCAACAATTGCTCGTAAACAATTCTTGACTGATTTCGACGAAACTTGGTATGGTTGTTTGTAATCATCCAAGGATGAACCCTATTGAAAATCAGACGAATCGAAAAATATTTACTATGACTTATTGCCCTTGTTCTTGAAACGCTCATAAACACTCTAGAAGGTGCAATTCATGACGGATTTTGATGAAACTTGGTATGAGTGTTCGTTATCACCCAGGTATAAACCCTATCGAAAATCAGAAAAATTGAAAAATATTTAGTATGAGTTATTGCCCTTGTTCTTGAAAACGCGTTCAATTTGTAGCTCGTAAACACTCTAAAAGGCACAATTCTTGATGGATATTGATGAAACTTGGTGAGAGTGTTTTTGTAATCACCCAAGGATAAACCCTATCGAAAATCAGAAAAATTGAAAAATATTTAGTATTAGTTATGGCCCTTGTTCTTGAAAACGCGTTCAATTTTTAGTTCGTAAACACTCTAGAAGACACAAATCTTGACGGATTTTGACGAAACTTCACATGAGTGTTGGTTATCACCCATGGTTAAACCGTATTGAAAAACAGAAAAATTGAAAAATATTTAGTATGAGTTATTGCCTTTGTTCTTGAAAACGCGTTAAAATTTTAGCTTGTAAACACTCTAGATGAATGTTCGTAATCACCCAAGGATGAACCCTATTGAAAATCAGATTACACCTGATGAAGGTCAGTTCATGACTTTGTTCAAAACAAGCATGTTAATTGTTTGAACAGTTTAAACTAGTTTTGGTTGTGGGCATTTACCCCCCAGTATTTTGAATTGAAACCTGTAGAATAAGTTGGAGACTTTTTCTAAAATTTGGCAAGATTACACCTGATGAAGGTCAGTTCATGACCGAAATTGCAGTTGTGTTTTTGAGGAGTTTTTTCATTTTTTGTTATTCTATTTGTTGTATTTTTCGTTTTTTCATATTTTTTCATATTATTTGTGTACCTTGCTTTGTTACGCCACAATTTACCCCTTCCTTCCAAATCATTAACATACATATTGTTATTATTCTTGTTACCAATTATCATGAGCAACTATGGCAACTTTTATTCTCACCCCGACCATTGGCAGGAAAATTTTTACCACTCTCGTCTGCATAATCCACGTTCGTACAACCCACGTCCCTATAATAACCCCTATGCTTGGCAAGAGCAGATCCCTCTTCAAAACCCTACTACCCTAACAATAGAGGCCAATATCACAGGTTGGAGAGACGACCGCATCATGGACAGAGCAATAGACATAGCAATAGACAGAACAATAGATCACATTTTAACCAGCACAGAAACAGACAGGGCCAAAATTTCCTTAGAAACCACCAACAGAACAACAATAAAAACCAACAATCAACAATCTGGACTATCAGAAACATCTGCCGCTTCGATCAGAATGTTCTACCAACTTCTGCAATGCCTTCACCATATCAATGCGGTATCAAAACAATTGGATGGTTCTTTAAGTCTTGGCCTTTCGAAAAAGGTCTCTCATCCGAATGAGTTCATTCAACCTGCTCTAAAAAATCCCATCATCTCTTTGGCGATTGAAAAAATTAATCAAACTTGGGCAACAAGTATTCTTTCGGCTCTTAAAAATCATTATAATTCCTGGTAAAAACTAAATTAGACTTGATCAAATCACACTCTTTTACGGACATACAAATTGAGTCTTTTTCGTGTGAAGCTTTAAATTGGGCTAGGAAAGCCAGTTAAACAGTTCAAATCACTTTTGGCAGATATTAAAAATACAGCTTCAGAGGATATGGATGTAGGCAATGTAGAGTTGGTAGGAATATCTCTTCCTCCAACTACCAAAAACAGATTTAGTTTCATGCCACAATCCACTGGGAAACCAAAACGGAACAGATCATATTCCCCAACAAGTTTTCCATCCTCTTTTGAAACTCCTTCAAAGTGAAAACATCTCTCAATCTTCTCTACCGAATTCACCTACAGACCAACCTACTTGTTTGCTTTCCACTTCAAATATAGTGAACATAAATACACTATCTACTTCATCATCACCTCACAGATCTCTCACGATTGCACCGTCTTCTTCAGCATTTTCTTCATCACCTCATATGTCTCATGATTGCACCATCTTCTTCTGCAGCATCGTCTTCATCATCTTCTTCAGCATCACCTCGCAGGTCTCTTACTTTTGATAAGACACTCACCCCATCTTCTTCATCATCAACTTCTTCTGTCACCAACCAACCAGCATCATCTAGACCCTCTACTAAACCACACGTTCATATCCGACAGAGTGATAAATCCAAATTCAATCTACCAAAACCAACCAAACCTATTCTCATCATTGGATCGTCAAATTTAAGCCGTATCCCAGAAAGCACCTCAGAAACCCAAAGAGAGAGCTTTTCAGGCGCAAGAATCTGTCATTTGAAGTCTATCATCACTAAAGCAGAAGCCAGTCAAGTACTAAATAAAGTAATAGTACATGTAGGTCTAAATGATAAACAAGAAGATGGTAATTTCATCCACATCCAAATGTTGGAACTGCTGTCAGCCACCCTGTATGTCACACCGATACCAGTTTCTTCATCTTTAAAACGAGCATGTCCTGGAACCTTCAAGAACCTATCAAAATTCATTGAACTAATCACAGCTAAACCACCAGAATACTCCGGATTCATTAAAGTTCAAAACGAAAATATTCATTGGACAGAGATGACAGCCAAGAATGTATTTTCTCACTGGATGGCCCATTTAAACTAGATGCGGGGGGTGGACCGAAACTGGATAAAACAGTAGTGAATCTGAGCTCAAAATCATTATCTGTAATGGAAGAAAGTCTATTGGACAAAGGCCTTAAATTTATACCCACGGCAGTGCCTTCATCCATTGACAAAATTTTAGATGCCACTTGCAATTTTGGAACGATTAATAAAAGTTAAAACTTTACAGAAAAACCCTTGGTAGGGGAACCCGGAAGAAGTTTGTGGAAAAATCTGAGTGGACTCCACCAGATGCCCTAATACGTACCGATATTTTAGAAATTTGCGATTTCAAACTTCTCTCTTACCATTGGTAAAAGAAAATAGCAACTTGACGCGCGCTGAAAGGACCATTTTAAACAACCTAAAGAACGATAAAAATATTATCATACGGAAAAGTGATAAAGGAAGCTTGTGTGTCATCTTAAACCGCGAAGATTACATTAAAGAAGTTGAAAATCAATTAAACATACGCGAACATTACCAAATTTTAGATGCTCCGATTTTTAAAGAAACCGGCAGTGTGATTAATGACATTTTAAAAAAATTATTGAATGACAAAATTATTTCAGATAAACAATACAACTATCTTTCGACTAGTTCTACAGCACGTCAACGGCATATTTATACCCTCCCGAAGATCCATAAGAACCCGGAAACAGAATGGTTTTTACCGAACATTATACCTAAGGGTCGACCAATCATTTCAAACTGCTCCAGCGAATCTTATCGAGTCTCAGAATACATTGACCATTTTTATACGCCCACATGAATATGTGGTCGTATATTGTCGTCGCCCCTGTCTGTCAGTCCGTCCGTCAACATTTCTTGTGAGCACTATAGAGACTACAGTTTTTATCTGATTTTGATAAAACTTGGTGTGATGCTTTAGATTGATAAGATCTCGGTCAAGTTGGAATTTGACGGTTTTTGAGATATTGCCCTTGACTTAGAATGCCTTGAAATTTGTTAAAAATTAGTTCAATTAGTCTTTAAGAAATTGCGAGAGAGGGGATATTCAAAATGATATCTCCGCAGCATTAAAAGCAAAACTCTTTCAGAAATTGAGCATATTTTAACAACCAATTCTTTCTCTAAGAAGCATAACGGTAAACAATTCCCTATTATAGGTGAGCTTTCTTGTACCAGCACAAATATCATTTACCTAATTTCATGCGACAAATGTCATTTACAATACGTAGGCGAAACTAAAACTCAGAGAAAGAATTAACGGCCATCGTTTTGACATCTCCCATCATCTGGATAAACCTATTGGGAACCATTTCAACTCTCTCAACCATTCCCTCGCAGATATGAAGGTGGCACCCATTGAAAAGGTCATCGCAGAAGAAGACACCAACCCTAAAAGTTCAAGACTATACAGGGAGAGCTTTTGGATGAATCAACTAAAAACTATTTCACCCTGTGGACTAAATATACAGTTTGATTCTCAAATAATCCCATTTGTTGCTCCATTCAATAACATTTCTTGCCAAGCATCCCGAATTATCAAAAGATACTACACAGAGTTACAAAATAAATTTCCCACTATTTTTTACAAAAAATTAGTCATAGCTTATTTGAAAAATAAAAATCTACAGGATATAGTTGTTCGTGGTCGACTTGACCCCACCGATGATGTAGAGTGATCTAACAGAATTAAATATTTTCATTTTCATTGTCTTTGTACTTTATAGTATATAATAGTCTAAAACAATTTATTTTCTATACCTGCAGCCATTAATCCCTTTTCTTCATTATTCCAGAAAATTTGAAGCAGTCAGAGTTTTTATGATTCTGTATTTTCCACAGTCAGTTGTCCCAATAATGTTATTTCCGTAAATGTAGATTATAAGTAGTATGAATTTCTTTATTAGGTCCAAGAAGATTTATATGATAACCGTTATGATCTTCTTTGATTTAGTTCATTGCATATTAGCATCACAATTATTGTAAACATAACTTTAACCCTGTGCCAGTGCCTTATATTGAATAGTAACTTGTTACTCTTCAATCACCCTAATCCCTATTGAAAATCAGAAGAATTGAAAAATATTTAGTATGAGTTATTGCCCTTGTTCTTGAAACCGCTTTCAAATTTAGCTCTTAAACACTAAAAGGCATGATTCTTTCTGGATTTTGACAAAACTTGGTTTTATTATTCAGTCCTGAAGATTGAATATTTGCCTTCTAGAGTTTTCACGAACTAAAGATTGAACACGTTTTCAAGAACAAGGGCAATAACTCATACTCAATATTATTCAGTGTTGTGCTAAAGAGTTCAAAAGAAGTGTATAACTGAAGGTTGAATATTTCATACTGGTGATTATTACTGTACTGCTAAATATTTATGTTCAAAATCAAAGCTGCCAATGGGCTTATATTACCTTGCCTGGCAAGCTATCTTGGAATCACCACATGAAATGAGGGGCGTATATTGTTGGTCTGTCCACAATTGCTCGTAAACACTCTACAAGACACAATTCTTGATGGATTTTGATGAAACTTGGCATGAGTAGTTGTTATCAACCAAGGATGAACCCTATTGAAAATCAGAAGAAAACGAAAAATATTAAGTATAAGTTATTGCCCTTGTTCTTGAAAACGCGTTCAATTTTTAGTTCGTAAACACTCTAGAAGGGACAAGTCTAGATGGATTTTAACGAAACTTGGCATGAGTGTTCGTAATCACCCAAAGATGAACCCTATTGAAATCAGAAGAATCGTAAAATATTTAGTATGAGTTATTCCCCTTGTTCTTGAAAACGCGTTCAATTTTTTGCACATAAACACTCTAGAAGGCACAATTCTTAGTGGATTTTGACGAAACTTGACATGAGTGTTTGTTGTCAACCAAGGATAAACCCTATTTAAAATATTTAGTTATTGCCCTTGTTCTTGAAAATGCGTTCGGAGTTGTGGTGGCTCAGTGTGTTAGACGCTTGCTCGCTAACCTATAAGTCCAGGGTTCAATCCCGGCACAGGGTCGTGAATCAAAAAATATTTACTATGAGTTATTGCCCTTGTTCTTGAATTGTTTGTGGACACGATAGAGAGCTAGTTTCTTGATGCATTTTGACGAAACTTGGTGTGAGTGTTTGTAATCACCCAAGGATGAACCCCTATTGAAAATCAGACAAATCGAAAAATATTTACTATGAGTAATTGACCTTGTTCTTGAATTGTTTGTGGATACGATAGAGAGCTAGTTTCTTAATGCATTTTGATGAAACTTGGTATGGTTGTTTGTAATCACCCAAGGATGAACCCTATTAAAAATCAGACAAATGGAAAGATATTTACTATCAGTTATTGCCCTTGTTCTTGATATCTTAATTAGAACTCAAAATACAAATAATTGGTATCCAGAGTGAAAATATTTTCTGATCACGTAGATTGTGTTATCAGACACTTTAGCTTTCTTACATGGCTGTAAACCATGGTACCCTGGTCAAGTGAAATTTCATTCAACTAAATTTTGATAAACTTTGTCATAAAGACTGCAGATACAATTTAGATATGCAATGTGTTGTCACTAATTGATAGACAGATACTTAGGAGGGTTAATTTATTGTTTACAAATTTAATGAGTAGAGGTTGAAAGCTAATGGGGCAAAAAGTCTAAAAGATTAGATGTTACCCTTTCACTTCGCCATTATCAGGAAAAATTTTCCCACCTGAAAACTTTGATACTTGATTTTACCAGGAAGGATCTTTAAATTTAGCTGAGATTTGCAGTGAATATCTAGGACACATAATATACTTCTGTCAAGTTTCAACTTGATAGCTCAATGCGAAGGGTTTACTAATCATTAATGACAAGGATATTGTGTCATGGGACCAACGGTAAAATCGTATACTGTTGCTTAAGGAACATTGGGTTCCCATGAAGAGCCTTTCTTCACACTGGTCTTGGCATTGATCTTTCCAAGATTGTCCATACCCATTTACATCTGGGTCGACTGAGTGAAGATGGCTTATTCAAGGTCATCTGACTATCACACCTGATGGAGGTAATGATGTCATGATTGAATGTTCTAAGTGACTTTGCTATAGAACCTTACAAGTGGATAGAACACCAATCATAAATCTTAGAAACATTATTCCAGTTGAATTATACGCCTACATGAAATGGTTTGTCCGTCTGTCCGCAATTGCTCGTAAACACAAGGCATAATTCTTCACTGATTTCGACGAAACTTGGTATGGTTGTTTGTAATCACCCAAGGATGGACTCTATTGAAAATAAGACTATGAGTTATTGCCCTTGTTCTTGAAACGCTCGTAAACACTCTAGAAGGTGCAATTCATGACAGATTTGATGAAACTTGGTATGAGTGTTCGTTATCGCCCAAGAATAAACCCTATCAAAAATCAGAAAAATTGAAAAATATTTAGTATTAGTTATGGCCCTTGTTCTTGAAAACGCGTTCAATTTTTAATTCGTAAACACTCTAGAAGGCACCTTTCTTGATGGAGTTTGACGAAACTTGGCATGAAAGTTGGCTGTCACCCATGGATAAACCTTATTGAAAAATTGAAAAATATTCAGTATGAGTTATTGCCCTTGTTCTTGAAAACGCGTTAAAATTTTAGCTTGTAAACGCTCTAGAATGTACAATTCTTGACGGATTTTTACGAAACTTGGCATGAGTGTTTGTTATCACCCAAGGATAAACCCTATTGAAAATCAGAAAAATCGAAAAATATTTAGTATGAGTTATTGCCCTTGTTCTTGAAAACGCAATAAAATTTTAGTTTGTCAATGCTCTAGAAGGGACAACTATGGACGGATTTTGATGAAACTTGGCATGAATGTTTGTTATCACCCAAGGATAAACCCTATTGAAAATCAGAAAAATTGAAAAATATTTAGTATGAGTTATTGCCCTTGTTCTTGAAACCGCTTTCAAATTTAG